TGTGTATATGTGCATACATCTCAGCATTCACACACTAACACTACACACAAATACACCCCTGCATTCAAATTTTAGCACTACGTACAAACACATGTCTGTGTTACACACCAAAATTATATGTAAATACACCCCTGCATTCAAAAACCAACACTACACAAATACATGCTTGCAATCACACCAACACCACATACAAACATATTCCATACAAACACACTGAAACTGCTTAGTGCTAAATATAGAACTGCAAACATGGGTAAATGGTAGAGCCTCAGCACCTCTTCATAGATATGCATTGAATCAATGCATCTCTATGAGAAAATTTCAGCGTCTCCATGCAGAACATGGAGACGCTGAACGGCAGTGCTGCCTACTGTGCAGCATTGCACTAGGAAGCACCTCCAATGGCCACTAGAGGGCAATGTAAGCACTGCCTTTTTCTCTAGAAAGACAGTGTTTGTATAAAAATGCCTGAAGGCAATGATTATACTCATGAGAACAACTGCATTAAGCTATAGTTGTTCGGGTGACTATAGGGTCCCTTTAAGACTCTACATACTCTTTAATTGTGCATTATCTAGGGAACTTCCCTCTAAAAAGTGGTGATTACTGCACACCATATACAAACCTTTCTTTGCCCTCATTCAGGTTTTGGAAGACTCAATTTCACTACCAATCAAGGACTTACGTTGTTTAAAATGGGAGGGTGGGTTGTAACCTTTGCAATCTTATAAGAAGCAAACATTTATAAAGAATTTAGTACATCGGAGGAAGGAAATGCAAGTACTTTTAATAATACATTTTACTTTACTCAACACATCACTCAAACTGCCAACAATGATTTATTGGTATCTGTATGCAATCAATAGAAAGGACACTATTTTGGTCCTCTTTACTGACCTCATATAAAAAGAATAATCTCTCTGTGGTAGCAGTGAAAGATGGCTTCCTGATGGCCATCCATTTCTGCCTAAATGGAGCACATGCAGGTTAATGCCTTATGAGATAGATCTGCAAAGATTCCCTAGGACTTCATACCTGAAGAAGAGGAATGGCAGTGGAATGGTGCTGAAATGCCAGAGTGCATGGGCATCCAGCACCCATAGGAAAGGGGGGAAATCCAGCAACTCCAGCAGTGCCAGGCTCTGTAATAGGACCACAACCAGCACGCACTTCCAGAGGTAAGGCTGGTGAGAGCGTCTCCTCATGCACCATGCCAGCCACCACACCAGGTTCACCATGCCTGAATAGATACATCAGAAGAAAGAAACAGAATGTGTCAATATATTAGAAATCAATGAACGTCACATCATATGTACCAAAATTAAAATGATATAATGAGCCAATAAAGCTGCATTTTTGGAGAGAAAAAAAAAAATATTAACTTGGGTATTTCCAGCACTTAACTGTGGGAAAACACACATATGTGAGAGAAGTTAAATATTGCTATATACATTAATAAGTGCAATAAGGCACATCTAGGCAGAGCAACCAAAGAACAGAAAACATGAACAAAAAAGAGAAGCACCTTGTCTTCATAGAACTACTTCACATTACAAACTGCCCGCAATCATTCTTAGCAGCTGCCAGTGTCACGGCATTTAATGGTATGTGAGAGTGAATGGAAATGGACACAGACAAAAGATGTACATCTGCAGAAAACAAAACACTAAGTAAATAAGCTTAACAAAGCAGTAAACACTGACAACTAAACAGCATAACTACAACACTGTTTTAAAACAAACTACAGAGGAAAGTTCCAGCGCCGCAGCCCGGCGCTGTAAAAAAGGTAAAGGATAAACCCCTTCCTCCCCCTTCAACGCCACGGGAGTGGGACCCTGAGGGTGGGGGTACCCTCAGGGCGCTATAGTGCCAGGAAAACGAGTTTGTTTACCTGTGCATGTGTTACAGAGTTCCCCAATAAGAGTGCATGAAAGTATTACAAGGCTTTACAATAATTAAACAGACACTATAGACACCCAGAACATGTCATCTCATGAAGTGGTCTGGGTGCACTTTACCTGACCCTCTTGTATTTCGAAAACCTAAAAAAAGTGTTCCTTTAATACCTTAAACGTATAGCTGACTGTGTTACACAGCTCAGAAGTAATGCAGTCGTTGAGTGTATTAGAGTTCTACAATAATGCCAAGTATTTGTAAGCATAATAAAGAGCTTCAGTTTAATGTAGGGGTTTATTACAGAGTTCCACGGTAGTGCACAGCATGTGTGAGTGTAGCACACAACTACATAGTAATGTAAAGTATGTGTTAGTGTATAACAGAGTCCCGCAGTGATGTAGAGTAAGTCTCATTCTACTACAAAGCTCCATAAGTATTTAAGAGGTGTATGAATGTAAAGTGCATTACAGAAACGTACAGTGTGTCAACATTACCTGGTTTTAGAGTGATATGTACACGTCATGGACAGTCAGAAAAAAAGGCTACTAGTGGTAATTTAATAAACCTTTCTATAATACTAGTCACTACACTCAATGTATTGTAACTCCACTGGTTGTCATCTGCTTGAAGTAAAGGATTACATTGACGAGATATACGGGATAGTAATTAACTCAAGGAATATGCAGGATATACATTTCACAAATAATCTGCCCCTGCACATAAACGTTAATTTAACCTGCAGATATAGAGAATCATTTTAGCACAGAGAAAGCTCTGGATCTGTCTGGGACATGCAAGGTTACAGGTCATCCTATAAAGCAATCTCAGAGTAATACAGTTACACATAGTGAGGCTCAATTGCATCCCCTTTTCTGGCTGATCCTAGCTCTTTCTATAATAAACTTGCTCTGCCCTTTGGTTATCTAATGCCTTCCTGTCCTGCACTCAGATGTATGGGTGGACACCAGGAAAGGTTTGGTAACATAAAGGGCTCAGGCACGATCATTATAATCATAACCCGATGTATATTATACAGTCTAGTAATGGATCAAACCCCCCCACCCTCCCAAAGGTTAAAAATAAAAATAGACAGAGGAACATACATACATATTACAATTGGCTTGACTCACTAATGCCTGCTAATAACAAGAAATATCTCACAATTTACTATATTCTAAACTCTAAGAAAATAAAGAAGACGTGATATGGTATAGTTTACTGAATATTACTAGCAATATCCAGAACATCTAATCTTGCTCTTTGTTTAAGTAGAACTACAATAACAGTCAAGAAAAAAGAAAACCATACATTAATATCTAATTTTCCAAATGTCTTCCCATAGTATCAGTGTTATATGTTGTTTGTGGCCTCATCTGTTTTATTATTCAGAAAGAGACAATATCACATTACAGTAAAACTGACATTCTGGATATCTTACACAAAATAGAAGGTAATTAGCTGATGACCACTCACAGCCTAACGAGAGACAGGGCAGATGAAAGGAAATGGGGATAAAGCACCAGTAGTAGGCTTGTGCTATGAATCGGAAATATGCCTTGTTACATTCTTACAAAATGGCGGTGATATCACATGACAGCTGATGGAAACAAAATGACTCTGAGTTGGATTAATGTACACTGTAATGCTTGTATTTCCTCTTAATATCCACTTCTCGACATCATTCCTATTACTTTGAGTCTCCAGCAAAGTATTTAAGATTACATTATAAATGACACTGGTATGCCTTTGTCTTACATACATAAATCATGGAGGACTAGATCATCACTGGACACCAATTATCCTAAAAATTGACTCCTAAAGGATATATTAAATTACACGGCCTCGTCCCACATATCTGCCGATCTGGAGTCATAACATATGGTTCATGAGCAATACAGCACGATGTGTGCGTTCTAGGTGCTGTATTGCTCATGTGTGTTCTAGGTGAGTTTTACAGTGTTGTGTGTATGTCATTGTACTGGTGATACATTTATTTTATCTACGAAAGATTCTAAATCAATTCCTGCAGTAAGGGATACAGGAAGGGTCAATAATATGCATAATTAAGAGACATCAAGTCCGGTAACACAGTTCGAGTCAAAAACTTCAGCAAACTCACCAAGGCTGACATTTGCCATCATATTGTAGCTGTAGTCAAAGCTCCCAAGGGTCAAGTAGGAGACATGGCATGCAAACAGGAGCACCAGGACAGCACCAAACACATTGGCAAGGGAAGGGTACCGCAGACCCAGAGTCCTGGGGGAACACAGGATATCAGCATGTGGAAAGCAGACACTGCCAGGGAACACAGGAACCGGGCACTGCCGGAAAATGCATAATGAGTTCATGCAAGCTGGTTAAAGAGAAGAAGAGATCCAAAATTATAACCAGCAATATGAGAGAGGATGGGAACAACGGAGAGCAAAAAAAGCAAAAATGAGAAGAAAGTAAAAAAATGGAGAAGAAAAGATGAAGATATATGTGAGTAGGAACTTTACCCCAGGAGCTTACCTCATGCAGCACAGGTAGATAGAGTGAAGAATAACTGAAGAGGCACAAAAATAGTCCATTTTCTGTGGGATCAGACAATGACAACAGTATATGGATATGGGAACATACTTCAGTAATTACGTGAAATCAATTGTCATTTAGAAGAAACCATTAATCCTAGCTCTTACTTCAGTAATTGCTGTGTCTTTTGTGTGGAATATTGTGGACCAAAACCATGCATTGATGGAGATCTGCAGCACAGGAGAAGAAGACAGTTATGGACATGAGCTTTTTAAACAAGGTCCTTCTGTCACTAACATAAGGGTAGAACCTACCATGGAGAAAGCCAGGCATGTGTGATACATGGGGCAAGAGGAAGGGACGGTGGAGCGATAGCGCCGCAGCATCCAGATATTAGCTATGCAGTTGAGGAAAGAGGCCAAGGCAGAGGCTGGCTCTTGGAAGAACAGGAATCGAGAGAATGGCCACTGGCGGGGAGAGAAGGAAAGGGCAGATTATTAAAAATGTGTAGCCTTCATCTTTCTAAACTGTTCCAGAAAAGAGAGAGAAAATAATACTTAGATACATATAAATATTCCCTATGAAACATTTCATACTAATGGACCATAATGATAATTACAAACAATACTTTAATGTGGTCATCCATCTATTTGGGAATTACGTTGAGAACAAGTTTCATTTCAGCAGTCAATGACATTAGTGTTGAGTTGCATTTTAGCAGTATTGGCTTAACGGATTAGCTTTTTAGTTGGAATTTACCCAAAGGAGAGATATGGTTACAATGTATAAATGAATAACAATAACAAGGGACACAGAGGAACATAAAAAATACTATGGGACGGGGAGTTGGTGATAAGGAACACTGTGGGAAAGGTTGGGGGGTGATAAGGAACACTGTGGGAAAGTTGGGGGTGATGAGGAACACTGTGGGAAAGGTGGGGGGGTGATGAGGAACACTGTGGGAAAGGTGGGGGGGTGATAAGGAACACTGTGGGAAAGGTGGGGGGTGATGAGGAACACTGTGGGACAGGGCAGGGGAGTGGGTGATAAGGAACACTATGGGACAGGGCAGGGGAGTGGGTGATAAGGAACACTATGGGACAAGGGGTGGGGGGCGGAGAACACTATGGGACGGGGGGGGAGTGGGTGGTAAGGAACACTTTTTTCTTATTGTTTTCCTACTCTAAAAACTAGGTGCGTCTTAATGCCAGGTATGTCTTATAGAGCGAAAAATATGATAATATCTTTCATTGCTAATATTCTGATCAAATTAAAAGGATATAAACCCGTTGAAGTTGTTTACGGAATATATCATACCTACCTATGATATACCAAAAGGTATTATAGTAGGAATATTACCACAACTAATTAAAAATATTCGCACACCACAATGTAAACAATAAGGGCTCCAACTCTCCCTCTATCTTCCTACCCCAGGGCTTGACAAATTTGTTTGGAATCTAGGATCCAGATAGAAAAGGTTAGGAGCCCGTTTTTTAAACTAGCGAAGTATGCGCAATATGTTCTAATATCTGTTTAGCTGAGATCTTAAAGATTGATTATTTCAGTCATGAAGGCAGGACAAGCCGCAAAAAACTGGCACGGCGTGGGAAAGAAGGGGAGTAAAAAACACCTCTCTTGTGATCGTAGGGGTGCAGGTACTTAAACACACACACACAGACACACTGACAGAGAAAGAGAGAGAGACATAGAGAGAGAGACAGAGAGAGAGAGAGAGAGAGAGAGACAGACATACACTGACAGAGACACACACACTGACAGAGAGAGACAGACACACACACACACACACACACACACACACACACACACACAAATTGGCATGTTCCATTTTAATCCACCTAGTCCACCATCCTACCTGGGAGAGCTGAGTGGACTTTCCCTGGGGTCCAGTGGGGCTGCTCGCTCATCTTGTGTGCGAGGGAGCAGTAATCTTCCTGTACCTCCTGTCTCCTCCCTGTAGTGATGCCGGGGCCGGAATGACGACATATTCCGGCTCTCGGCATCACTATACAGTGCGAGGGAGCAGATAGGAGCTACAGGAAGATTACTGCTCCCTCCCGCTCTGCCACAGCCTGCAGACTGCACGATCCCCAGGGCGGCCGCCTCCATGCAGACCAGGGCGACACTGAGCCGACCGGCCAGCCCCATTGTTCCCCCCATCCTGCCTTTAGCTAAAGGGCTTCTAATCCCAGGCACCTGGGCAAAATTTCAAGTCGCCATGGCGACCGGGCACCTGGGATTTGTCAAGTCCTGCCCTACCCCCTCCTTTCCTGATCTTCTTTTCCCATCTACCTATGTTTCATAAAGACAATTTTCTTTATCCCCCCAAAAAAATATATATATTATAATGATGTAATTATATTATTATTGTACCTATTTTGAATATTTTATCTATGTGTAAAGTTCTATAAGTCTAAATATCCTATGTAATAATGATAGTGTAATACATATATATATATTGTTATAAAATATAACACTTTTCAATAAAAAAATATTTGAAAACGAAGCAAAATGAAGGCAATTTTTTTTTAAAATAAAATGTCTAGAAAATAATGTGAATTGGATAGCATGTAAAAGTATGATATGTCTTGTTAATCTAGTCATTGTTAACAGTCCAACTGCACTCACCTTCCCATGGAACTGTGGGACTGGATACCCCTCCTTGATGTACAGGGATACAGTGTGCCACATGCATTGGTACTGACAGTCATCCAGACAAGCCCAGCCTGAAATATTGATGAGAGCATAGGTAGCAGTTCACAAACAAAACTTGGACAAAATTAACACAAGCAACCAGGAACTCCTGTTTTGGGCTACTTGATTGACAGGCTTACAGTTACAGTTTTAAGCCACCCTCCGTATTGAACGTTGGCCCAGGATATCTCTGCACCATCAAATATGCATTCATGCAAAGTTGTGATGGTGCTTTGAGTGATCCCATAAGGTTGTCACATTTACAATGCTAGAGACGGCTGTGGGAAGTGACAAAACTTGACAGTGGTACCTCTGCCTATTGTCAACTTGAGAATTCACCATAAGACAAAGTAGTCCCAATTTTATTTTTTAACTGCACTGGAATTTCAATGAAATTTCAGCAGAGTCTTTATGGCCATTGCATAAGAATGTTATCTTTATGAAATAGTCATATTTTTTTGGAGTGTTCCTTTCAATGAATTGGTTATAGTGTCTGGAATTCCCTGGCAATGTTCTTCCATTTGGCATTAACGCAATTGATGTTTTAATGCTAAATGAGAGTCTTAAGCAGCCCCATCCCCTCTGTCCAGCTTGGCCCATAGCATAAGCAGCAATGGGCATCTGTGATTAGCAGAGTTTTCAAGATCTCTAATCAAGAATGATGTTTATGAGCAGTGCATTATTACTATTACTGGTATTTATATAGCTTATTCTACAGTCATTTACAATATTATAAAAGGGGGACATTTAACAATAAATGAGACAATTAAAATATTACAAGAACAATAGGTTGCGCTGGAGAATCCTGCTCAACGACGTACAATTGTCATGGGGAATGAAAACAGTTCAATGTACAAGAAATAATCTCAAATGAACTCGCTTGATTATAGCCAAATGATTTCCATCCTGGAGCATATGAGTTTATGGTAGAATGTAAGCTTGTTTGAACAGGGTCCTCAACACCCTCTATTTCTGTGGGTCCAACTCGTCTTGTTGCAAATACTTGTCTAAAAGTCCTCCTATTTTGCAGCACTGTGGAATTTGTTGGCGCTTTACAAATAAAATAATAATGCTGCATACCACAAGATAGCACTTTTCATGCACTGCCAATCAGCATATATCAATTAAATGTGAGTAACAAAAATGGTTGATTTGACAAACCTACCGGCCACCCATAACTTCATTGAGCTGTCACTGCCCAGAAACAATGAGAACCCTGATCTCCATAGCTTCACAGCGCTGTCACTACCCGGACACAATGGTTATCCTGATCTGTCACTCATAGCCTGATAGAGCTGTCACTACCCGGACACAATGGTTATCATGATCTGTCACTCATAGCCTGATAGAGCTGTCACTGTCCGTACACAATGTTGCTCCCACCTGTCAGTCTCATGTAGAGCGGCTGTTCCGCCCGGAATTCCCGGAGCCGAGCCCCGGTACAGTTCATCTGCTGACATCCCGCCACACATTCCCGGTACACGGGCTCCCGGTCCCCCCGAGAAGCAGCCGCGGCCCCGACCAACAGCAACAGCAGCAACGGGGCCATCACCGGAAACAGGCACTTCCGCACTGGGTACGGCGATAAAGCGTGCCTTCCGGGGAACACAGAACACCGCACAAAGGTTCCGGGAGAAATATCATGTTACCTCTCAGCTCACTGTATGGGTGTCAATGTGGGTGGCTGGGCTTTACCTGCAATTACAACCAGGTCTTAGTGAAAGGTAATCAGTTGTTAAGCCTGTGACTCAGCAATGCCTAAAGGAAATGACTGCATGAAAATAAGACAAATTAATTTCATCTGTCTGAGCAAATGACCTTTTTATCCACACTGATACACGTGCAAATACACAGACACACACCTGCAAATAGAAAGGCACACTGATACCCACTGTGACTTGGCTATAGATACACATATACTCACACTAACATACATGCAGATACATAGACACGCATACAGATACACATACTGACGCACGCACGCACACACACAGTGACACACATACACACCATGACACACGCATACTGACACACACAGACATAATGTCACACATACAGACAGACACGCTGATCAAAGGGTAGATATTTTTAGCCACCCTCCCCATTCCTACCTTTCAGGTGGAGGAGGGTGGCTTCCCTAAGGTCCAGTTGGATCTGCTGGCCGAGGATGTTGGGTACAATGGTTATCCTGATCTGTCACCCATAGCCTGATAGAGCTGTCACTGCCCGGATACAATGGTTACAGCTGTCACTGCCCGGATACAATGGTGCATGCCCCGTTCTTCTCTGTAGCGCAGAGGTAGTGATGCACCATGCGAGGGAGGTGAATATAGAAGGAAGAAGCCAATGACAAAGTTGCCAAACACCATGGAGCTTGATTAAAGCTCCACACTTTGTCAACGTTCAGGTTATACATCCGGAAAAGTAGACCCTACTCTCCTTATGTTTACTGAGAGAAAAATAAATATTGTAATCTCCAACTAGGGAGATCTAAGGTGCTGGTAATTTAATGAATGAACAACGTGATTGGAATAATAAAAAAAAATATCTCTAAATTGGTTATGGTAGGTAATGGAGCGAGGGAAAAGTGGAACCAATTGTTTGTTTAAATGATATTTACATGTGCCCTTTAACAAAAACTATATACATGTATAACTTTATTGATCCTTTATTAAAAGTAGGAAAAGCAAAGGAACACAAAAAACCTTAAGATAGCTTGTTATAAATTGGCAGTGTGATGTCTGCCTTAAATAATATTGCACAGGTCTATTTATGGCGAATGTTTCTATTTATGGTGAATGTTCTGTTTTAAGATAGCTATCAAAAAGGTGAAAGTATCAGAGTTTCCCTCAAACCTTCTTTTTTGTGTCATATTAACAAAAAAAGAAAAACAGGCCATGGGGGAGTGTGAGGGGAGTTTACGGGACAGTTACGCTTTAACTCCTTATCTGGAATCTCATTCTATACATACAAAGAAAGCAGGATCTCTTTAAGAGCCGGAGCTGGGTAGTTAGGCACTGTAAGCTCTGTAGTTTCACCACTAGTTCTAAATTAGCCTTTTATGATGTGAGTAAAAAGGTTTATGTGCTCTTTATTCAAGAGCTACTGCCAATAAATAGTCTGTACTTCTTCGAATTCTGCATATTCGCGTTTGCTGGAAGTACACAATAACACAAAGGTGTTGTAGAGTTTTGTGAAGTAAATAAGGCTGGCTAAGCTTCATGGGAAATGATTCTTGCAAATGTGTGTTGCGTAAAAGCAAAGTATTTATTTATGGAGATTGGAATTTTCCATAGAGTTATAATGGGCACTTTGCAGTTAGGTTATACATTTCATAAAATCAGGGCCGGATTTACCCTCCTTGCTGCCACAAGGTCAGTTTCCTCAATACGATACCCACAGTCCCTTCATATATACATGTATATAAATGTATGTGTGTTGTAGTAATTTTATATTTTGCTTAATATATATATATATATATATATATATATGTCATTATTACATGTAAATATTAATCTAATACACATATAATAATATACATGCCTACATGATACTCTCCCACAATTTAAAAGTATTGGTTTTTTTTTATTATTAAAACTTTGGCCTTTATGATGACCAATGCAGACACACACACACACACACCCACTGAACCATGTAGATACACTCACACTGACACATGCAAACACACAAATAACGACCCATGCAACACACACATAACGACCGATGCAGACACTAACATTGGTGGGCACAGGTGACTGGCCTCTGGGCTAAGCAAGGCAGACTACTGCTGGCCTAGCAGGTCCTTTGTTGGGCAGCTTGGTGGGTAGTAGTGGCCCCAAGCTGGAATGGAGAAGAAACAGGTTTGTAGTCACCTTCTCTGATGGGCTGGCCGCTGCACTCACTGCTACAGTGGCCGGCTCCATCGGCATGGGAATGGAATGGCTAGTGAGGAAGATCTTTGATTTTTCCATCGGTCATGCCACTTCTCTCATACGTGCTACCACAAGGTCAAGGTCCAGTGACCTTATGGAAAATCCAGCCCTTCTCAAAATACAATGTCATGGGCTTAAAGGACACTGCAACCAACATAACAATTGCAGCATATTATAGTGATTATGGTACAAGTGGATTCAGGATGCAGGTCCTCTCCTCTGTGTTTGTGTCCCCTTAGCTTGGGACATGATAAGATCTCTTCCTATTATTCCTCCAAAATATTTGTAGGAACTCTGGATATGAGAAAAGAGGGCAACAATGTGATGAAAGGCAGGCCCATCCAGAAAAGGGGTTCATGCATACCTGCGTGCCTACTGGATATTCTCACTAGATCTTCCAAGGGCTGCACATGGGCAACGTGCTTTTAACACGCTGTTGTCTGGGTTCAATGTTCTGAGAGCAGCTTGCACAGCGTGAACACTTTTCACAGAATTGGTACATCAGAGAACAAATCCAGGACAGCTGGACAAAAGCCAACATTTGTGACTGTCCTGACAAATCTGGGACTGTTGGGAGGTCTGAGAATAGCAGTTATAAAACTGACATCATTGATCCCAGTTTTAATCCCAAGCAAACTGATATATATTTACAGGGTGTCTGTATCAATTTGGCAATGCAAAATGGTGACCCAGTGTGGCAAAACACAGGACAATTAATTTGGTTTACAATAAAGACATGAACTTTCTGATTATGACATCTTCAGCGTATTGAGGGGGCTTTAGTGTCACAGATTTTGTCAAACCACTTGAAATCTCTTCAACACAAAGTGTAGGACCTCACCCATAGCTTCTTACTACCATAACCTTTACAATAAGCTATGGTGATAATGATGCTTGATGCTGGTTTAAAAAAGAAAAAAAAAAAGTATGATTGCGCACGCTTACCAAATCATCCAGATTTACCAAAATCCTAGAAATTCTGGAGCTACATTATTATTATTATTATTATTTATAAAGCACCCACATATTTCACAAAACTGTTTAACAGGGTACATGAAAATTGCTGCACAATGCGCATAATATGGAGGCATAGAAGTATCTAGTAATTAAAGGAACACAAAGCACCATAACCACTACATTGTCCTCTAGCGCTTCTGGTCCTTGGACTGTTCCTTTAATTACCTTTGCTGCTGGGAAATCCCCAATTTTTTAAGCAGCCAGTAAACAATGGGTGAGGTGCCATCTGTTGTTAGGAGGGGCCTTTTCATAACAATATGTCTATTGCACGTCCTTTGTTTCTGAAAAAAACGTTCTTGCTATCACAACTCGCAAAATATTTGCAGGCCTCAAAAATACCTGCGTGTCTCTCTCTCTATTTGGCTCTCCTATTTTGGTGGTTGTAAAAAAAAAACCAAAAAACTAGATTTGTAGGTTTGCTGCTCTAAAACACGTGAAAGGTAGCTTGGCTAATTGTGTTTCCTCAGACTTGTTTACGGTTTAGTCACAGGGAGGGGACACAGGAGAGAGCTGCTGCGTACTAACCGACCTAACCTGTCAGGGAACTGTGTTAGGAATGTTTATTTTTACCATTGCCTCCCCCTTCTCGTATATTTGTTTCTGCATGGTTTACCATGCCATCCTTCTAAATCATGGCAACCATATTCAAACTTTAGTAATGTCTACATATTATTCTTAAAGGACCCACATATGAAAAAGTTACATCATTGATGTCGAGCAAATAAAACGATGGAGTTAACAAAGTTTGTACTTTATTTAAAAATATATATATTCCCAAAATAAATAAATTAAATAATTAAAATATATATCTACAGTGCATTCTTATGCATTATGGAATAAAAATGTCTTTGCAATGCTTCACATATTGGCTATTTATAATGCAAATAGGGGATCGGCCTGTTCACAAATAATAAAATAACGTAGGCCTCTCTGAAATATATTTCCCTAAGGATGACAATATTTCAAGTTATGATCATAATCCAATCTTTGAAGAGCCTGTAAATAAAAGCATGGATTGTCCTGGCTTTTTATTTTTTTACTATTGACAGTTCAGCCCTGGATATGGTAAATGAATGGGGAAATTACATTTAAAATGCAGACTGCTCTGATAAAAATGTATCGTTGTTGTTCCATAAGTGCAGGGCCGCCATCAAGGGGGTAGAGCCAATACAGCTGTAAGGTGCCCTGGCTGTCAGAGCGTTACCACGGGTTACCACTATATACACACACTGTATCTGCTACACGCACACAAGCACTACATCCGTTATATTTACACATACACTGCACATAGACACTGCATCTCTTACACATACATGTACTGCATCCTTGTGGGCAGACTCGGTGGTGCGTCCTGTGGACGGACCCAGGGGAAGGCCCCAAGGGCCCAGACATTGAGCTGAGTAAGGGTCCCCAAATTTTCTGACGGTCGCCCTGCATAAGGGGATATTAAGGGCCTGATATACACATGAAAAGAGGCTACACTGACCTATTTCTTGCCGCCAGTCTTTTCAAAGTGTTTTGCTGGCGCTTCAAGAGTTCTACAAATGAAATCAGAAAAAACAAGTTTGTTGTATCTTGTTTTTCTTTAACATTTCAGATAGATAGATGCCTGCTTTGTTAGTATTGCATGTTAC